TTTAAGTTTATCCCACACAATATCTCTAAGATGGACTTTTGTACTATCATATATAGCTGAAAAAGGCCATTTAAAATTAAAAGGGCGTACCTCTAAAAGAGCATGGATTTCTTGACCATTTTTTTGTGAAGTGTTCCACTGTCACCATATTGTGATTATAGAGGATGGCCATGTCTCCTGATTGGCCATCCGCATGAACCTCTATGAGCTCAGAGAAATTGAATTCATTTAGAAGGGGGGCATGCAACAACATCCTAGTATCAAGAAGGGCTACCATGCAGGGTTTATGAGTGTCAATTAATTTCCTAAAATTACGACGGAATCATCATTATTGGCACCTCTAACGTTCCAAAATATTATAGTAGTGGCTCTATTCATTTGAGATACTTGTTGTTGGTTGACAGTGGACTCCCTCTCCACTGAGTTGTGGCTCCTCCTTCTTGATGGGACTAGGATTATTGCCTATTTTCCTACTGTGGGATCTTGTGGTGGTCGAACATGCATTGAGCACTTGTACATGGTGTTGGGGCAGCTGAGTATGTATTTCTTGCTCCATAATTTTGGGAAGAGTAGTATTTTTACCTCGTTTAGGCTTGAAAATTCCACACTTGGTTGAGTACCTTATGGAAGGGGTTCTTCTTCTTCCTCTACTGGATGTTGTGGTGGATCTTGTCCTAGCATATTGACTTGGATGTTGTATTCTAGATTTACTGGGGCCATGTTTGGTAGATTGTTCGATTCCTGGACTACATGGTGACTCCAAGGTATGAAGATCGGGTTTATTGTCATGCTTTCCTCTGATGGAAAGAATGGTAGATTCATTGGAAGATTGATGAATTGGTTGGGTTTTATTAGTAGATTCCATTGTTCCTACATGTCCAAGATTAGTGTGTGATTCATGTGTGGATCCAGAGGGTGTAGGATATTGTTGATCCATGCTTGATTGGTGTAGTTGTTCATTACTATATGCATTCATTCCAATATTAGTCGGGCTAGGTAGCGGGTATTCTAGATTATTATTACCATCTCTTGATTATTGATTTGGATGTTTAAGGTTATTACATGGCCTAGAATGCATGCTTCCAGCCAAGAGGTTGGTTGGTAATTTTGAGGTTGAAAGGGGTGTGAAGAATAGTGGTTGATTTTGTAATTGTGGTGGCATAGGTGGAAGGTTGGCCATCGAAGGAATTATGTGTTGGTTTGGGATGTGAACTAGCCGAAACTTTCTCCTGGTTGTGAGTGGAAGTCTCGGCATTCTCTTCTTGTGTGTTATTTATTTGGTTAGTGTTGGTAATAGGATTGGTAGTTATCCTAGGTTTCTTGATTTCTATGGAATTCTTTATCTGCATAGGAGATAATTGGCTTGGCGTGTGGGAATATATAAAATTTTGGTGGATTTTGTTGTTGCTAGGTCCTCTGAATAATCCGCCATTTTGCCACCCTCCTTTGCATGCATGTCCATGTGTAATGTTGATGAGGTAGGGTTAATGGATTGGGTAGTGGTAATATCCATTTTAGGATTAGTTATTTCCTTTAGTTTAGAGGTAGCTAAGTAATTACCTATTTTGTTTTTAGTGGAAGATTCATCTAATGATTGGGGTGTTAGTTCCAAAATATCATTTGTCTTGGACACATGTAGGAATTTATCTTTTCTACTTTGCATGCATTGGGTGTTAGGGATTATAGCCAGATTTCTTGCTAAACCATTTTCGAAAACCATGGGCTTTTCATCCTTACTTTGTAGAATCTCAAAAACATTATTAGATTTTTGGCCAACATTTGAGGAGAGGATATTAGTATTAGAGTTTTTGTCCGTGGATTGTCTAAATTTTGAGTCAGTAGCAGGTGCATTTGGAGAGATTGTTTCCCATATGTTTGAATTTAGGAAAATTAAACTTTTGGGAATTAGAAGACATACCCGTGTCAGTGTCATTGAGTTTTGGGCGTGTACCTGGATTGATTACCTTAGCATTGGGGTTGGCTTAACTCCAGTAGTCTTTTTTTTTTGTTAAAGGTGACAGTCACCCAATCACTTTGAGTGTCTTGTTTTGAGATATCTGCTGGACTTCCTTGTTGCTCACTGGGATAGGGAGGTAATAAAAATATTGAACATTTTGATTGGCTGTGGCCTAATTTACCACAATTGGTGCACAAAAAGTTTCCACCCTCATAATGTATATGTTGTTTATAGCTTCCAATATAAATAAAAGGCTTGACCGGCTTTTCCATTGATACTTCAATACATAGTCTAGCATATCTACCTCTTAGAGTAGAGGAAGTGCAACCATCAATCCTAAGTAATCTGCCAATTGTATTTCCAATTTTTTGTAAAATGGTAGAGTCATAAAATTCACTAGGGAGTTGGGGAAGACGAACCCAAACTGCTGATTTCAGTTGTTTTGCCTCACTGACTACAAATTGTGGCTCCCATTTTTGTACTAATAGGTGGTAACCATTAATAAACCAAGGTCCATTACTGAGTGTTCTGGACATATTTTCCTCCTTGTTGAACTTTACTATGAAGTAATTATCCCCTAGATCCATAAGGGTGAAGTTTTTTGTTGGCTTCCACAACTTATATAGTTTTCTCTTTAGGTATTGGTGTAGGATATGTTTTTCCATTAGTTTAATAATAAGAGAATATCTCCATGGTTGATAAATCCTATGGAGGTCGTCTACTGTGAGTGGGACTTGTAGGTTATCATTAAGATTTTGGATTGCTTGGGAGCAAAGATTTTGGCTAGGCAAATCTTGAATTAGGCTGTGTAGTTGCATAAGGGTGTCTTGAGTAGTAATTGGTTCTAGAGGCGGTTGAGAAACGTGAATATTGATAGAGTCCAAAAGGAGAATCTCTTTATATGATGAGTTGGGGTGGTGAGGTATTTTGGCTAGTGTAGTCGTGAAAGAATTATTTCCTTCATCAGCATGTTGAGATTCCTTACATGGTGTTGATGTAGGTGGATTAATACCTTTATTTTTGTGAAGGATATCCGGAGGTTTAGGAGGGATTTGGGAAGATTGATGAGTGGAGGGTGGGAAATTGTCTATTGTTGCTATGGAATGTTGAAGAAGAGAGTAGTGAGAAGGTAGACCTTCTCTCTCAGCGATCTCACTTAATGAATCCTCAAAATTCACTATTATCATTTCTAGCCATTCAGAAAAAACTAATGATAATCGGTGGCTATAAATTACAATATACATTTTATAGCTCAAAACTAATTTTAACGGTTAGCCACTGAAATTGACAAACCCAACTATCACATAAACACAATGGGAGATGGCTTCTAAGATAGCTTTTAATTTATTCAAAGGGAATCATTCATTATTTTATTCTTTTTAGGCTTCTATGCTATTTAGATATTAATATTTTATACATACTTGTGAAGAATATAAAATTAAAACTTTTGTGATAAATGTTACTTTTTGTCCTTTCCTATATGAGTTCATTATGTGCCCATACTGTAAGTGAGATAAATAATTAAAATTTTAGTATTATTTTTGGAGTGTTTTTCTTTTTAAAATTTTAATTATTTATATCATGCATAGTCTTCACTATAAAAAATATATACAAAATAAAATGTCACTATACAAAAAATATAATTAATAGACTGTCACTATACAATTTATATATAATGGACTGTCAGTATACAAAATATACTATCACCGTATAAAAATATACAAAATAGACTGCCACAGTATAATTTATATACAATAGACTATCACTATATAAAATATATACAAAATAGACTGTCATTATACAAAAATATACTAAATAGACAGTCACTATACAAAATAGACCGTCACTATACAAAAAGTATATTAAATACACTGTCACTATACAATTTATATATAATAGACTGTCACTATACAAAATAGTCTGTCACTATACAAAATTATACAATTAGGATGGTCATTATATGATTTATATACAATAGACTGTCACTATACAAAAAATATACTAAATAGACTGCCACTATACAAAAATATAGAAAATAAACCGTTACTATACAAAAATTAAAGGCAAAAATTATTATTTTCATCAACTTTCAACATAAAAGCTTTCCGGAAACTCGTCCGGACTGCGCACGCAAATCAAAGAGGAATAAAATGAGGTTTTAAAGACCTCGGAACCCAGAATCAAGTTCTAAACTATAAGATGACCTTTTGGGTCATTACACAAATACGATATAACCTTTTGGTTAACATAAATATAACCAAAGACCGGTAAAAAGGGAGAATAAGCACATTTACTGTGTATTCTTCTAATCCCTTTTTTTTTGTAACATTTACTGTGTATACCTAGTCGTTTACAAACTAGGAATAAATGTAGCGCATAGAGAAAAGTCTTTGGCACTTGAAGCAAAACAATAGAAAGACTTGTAAATTTAATTTGGAGGCTGATAAGGAGAAACAAGTTAGGTATGCCTAACTCACATCTTGTATAGATAGAGTTAAAGGCACAATATCCATGTTTTCACTTTCTGAGTGTACTAATTTCATATCATTAGCCTTATTTTTCCAGCAGCCGCATTTGAATGTATATTTCTTTCTTCTATTAAAGCAAATTTCAAAGGCACGATGGAGCTTGAACCTTGAATAAATACTGATGGACCACTTCAACTTTGGAATTATATATGCTTATTTACGTATTTTTGCCTTTTATTCGTTTGAAAAGAAAATTATCCGCGCGATATTTTTGTATATGCAGAAAAGTCAATAGTTGCTAAAAAAAACCCTTTGTAACTATTGACAGTGTTGTTTGTAATGCTTCATTGCTTACTAAGAGCTTCACTCACAAAAATTACTAAGAACAAAGTTTACCTTTTTCCCAAAAATAAATTTCATATTTGGCTCCACATGTTTGTAATGTGTTCAATGAGACAAGTGACGTACTTTTCAGTGACAAAAAAAAGTTGCTGAAAAATGCATATCTCATATTTTTTTTTTAGAGAAATCCTATTTCTTGCCTAAACGAAATGCCTATAAAAGAGCATATATTTGCAACAACAGTTTGCAGAACCTATCAAGCCAAATAATCCCCCCTTTCCCTCCCAAAATGCAGTTCTTCAACTTCTTTTCCCTTTTCCTTTTTGTGTCATTCCTCTTTTTATTTAAGAAATTGAAGAATTCCAATAGCCAAACCAAAAGATTGCCTCCAGGTCCATGGAAATTACCTATTATTGGAAGCATGCTTCATTTGCTAGGTGGATTGCCACATCATGTCCTTAGAGATTTAACCAAAAAATATGGACCAATTATGCACCTTCAACTAGGCGAAGTTTCTCACAAAATAGATCAGCCTTTGGACAAGAATACAGGGAGCAAGATGAATTTGCACGATTAGTCAAAAAAGTGTCAAACTTAATGGAAGGGTTTGATGTGGCTGATATATTCCCTTCATTGAAGTTTCTTCATGTGCTTACTGGAATGAAGGCTAAAGTGATGGATGCACACAATGAACTAGATGAGATTCTTGATAATATCATCACTGAGCACAAGAAGGTTACAAAGACCAATTGTGAATCAGGAAGTGAAGGTATAATTGATGTACTGCTAAGACTTATGAAGGAAGGAGGTCTTCAATTTCCAATCACTAACGACAACATCAAAGCTATTATCTTTGTAAGTACTATATACTACATATTTCTACCTTCATTGTTAGTATTCCTTCTGTTCTACTTTATGTGATACTTATTTTTATTCTATCACATAAAGAATGACGTATTCCTATATAAGAAATAATTTAACCTTAAACTTCTTATTTTACCTTTAATAACATGCTATCATAGCCACAGGTATTTCATGACATATTTATTCCCACAAGTGAAATTGATGAAGTATTATGATTTATCTTCAACACTAACGTTCTCAAATTGCATAATTAATTTTTGTACTTAAAGAGTCACTTTAGTTAGCTTTCAAATAGGACAACTATCTTACTTTCATCATAAAATTTACACATTTGAAAATTACAACAAATGTTATTTCAATCACCACAACTTGGCACTAGGATAACGAAACAAGTAGCAAAATAACATGATAAAAATTATTTTGGGTTTTGGCATAGAAAATTTAAAAGTTCCTTTCGGTGTAGAATAAAGGTAGTAGCACAAACGTAGTACAGATATGTTATTTGAATATTTCAGTAGAAATTTGTCAAGAAGTTTGTAAGAGAAATGAATATGGTAACTTGCTCGAAAATGAAGGACATGTTTGCTGCGGGAACAGAAACTTCAGCAACAACAATTAATTGGGCCATGGTCGAAATGATGAAGAATCCAAGTGTATTTGCCAAAACTCAAGCAGAGGTAAGAAAAATCTTGAGAGGGAAAGAAACTTTTGGTGAAATTGATGTCGATGAGTTCAAATACCTAAAGATGGTCATTAAAGAAACTTTCAGACTCCACCCTCCGCTACCTCTTTTGCTTCCAAGAGAATGTAGAGAAGAAACAGACTTAAATGGCTACACTATTCCATTGAAAACAAAAGTCGTGGTTAATGTTTGGGCAATGGGAAGAGATCCAAAATATTGGGATGATGTAGAAAGCTTTAAACCTGAGAGATTTGAAAATAACTCTATGGATTATACTGGTAATAATTTTGAATATCTTCCATTCGGTAGCGGAAGGAGAATTTGCCCTGGAATATCATTTGGTTTAGCAAATGTTTATTTTCCACTAGCTCAATTGTTGTATCATTTTGACTGGAAACTCCCAACTGAAATCAATCCAAGTGAACTAGACTGACTGAGGCGGCTGGAGCAGCTTGTGCTAGAAAGAATGACCTACACTTAATCGCTACTCCTTATAAACATTGTCAAGAGTGATCTCATGGCGTCAAACCTTTTCTTAAAAGAAGAATCTTGCAATTGAATTTCGTTGTCAACCACTGTACTTTCTTCCTTTGCTGCTTTGGTTCTAGTATTTGCGTCGTCTTGCATATAGAAATATGTCATTATAGTTTTCGACACAAGCTGTCTAATAAGATTTTCTGTTGTTTTTATATTTTTGAATGTAGTGAGGACAGGGGCGGATCTACATATAAAAATTGGGTGCTCGGGCACCCATTAACCTCGACCCCGAACACGTATAATTATATAGAGAATTTAAAAAAAGGAATATAACACAATAGCAAGCACCCAGATAACAAAAGGCTTGGTGGGTGCTTTGGTTTATGATGGGTGATGAAGGGCTCTAAAAGTCTACGGGCTCTAATATCAAGCACTAACTTTCTTTTGCTCCATTAATTATTTGGTCATCTATTTTGCTCTTTCGGTTTTCACTGGCGACTTTTGTTTCGCAAATACTACTACTTTTATTCTTTTGGTTCTAACTTTGTTTAACCTTTGTTTTTTTTTTCACTTTATCTAATTCTCCATAGCAAAGAAAGAAAAGAATATGTGCTTTTAAAAACCAAGGATTCCTCCAGAACCGTAAATTGTGTTACTCTGATGGTAAGCAACCTCCACTTCCAACCAAGAGGTTGTGAGTTCGAGTCTCCCCAAGAGCAAGGTGGGAAGTTCTTGGAGGGAAGAATGCCGAGAGTCTATTGGAAAAAGACGCATACCTTACCCCTACCCTGAAGGAATAGAGAGGTTGTTTCCGAAAGGCTGCGTTGTTGTTGTTGTATCACATTTTTACGGCGTCGTTCATATTGGTACTAGAGTTTTCTCATTAATTTTTTTATCTCCATATTTAAATAGTTGTATACTTATACGATATATTAGTAGTAATTTTACGTCAAAAAAAGTTAAACACCCACGAACCCAAAATCCTGGATCCGCCAACGAGTGAGGTGCGGTCCATGAGGACACAATATACATACTTACATCCCTCTAGTATAAAGAAGAGTAATATGATGGCATCATCATATTCTGTTTTGTGAATTGTTGATCTTGAGCTATGTGAGTTTTGATGAATAACAAACGAAATGTTCTTGTCAGTTACTTATCGACATAAACCCAACTGAGTTTAAAATATGAGTTAATTAATGAGATTTTTACACAAATAGCTAACTCGATTCATTATTTAATTTTCATAACCGCTATACATAGATTATACACGGTCATGGATATATTATATATAAATTGTTTTTATACTATATATAATTAACAAGGTATGGAAGAATCAAATTGGTATATTATTCCATATAGGGATACATAGATATACATGTACATCAGGTGCTAACTAAGGAAAGAAATAAAAGAGATTACAAATCTGCTATCTATATATGGGTTATGTATACTACTAAGAAACAGTCTATGTTCATTGTATAAAGTGTCTAGGTTCATTCTGTAACATTCCCCCTCAAGCTGGAGCATATATATTGATGATGCCCAGCTTGTTACAGAGGTAATCAACTCGAGTGTCATTCAATGCTTTAATGAACAAATCAACTAGCTGCTCTCCTGTCTTCACGTAGCCAGTAGAAATCAAGTTCTCTTGAATCTTCTCATGAATAAAATGACAGTCAACTTCAATATGTTTGGTTTTTTCATGTTACACTAGATTTGAGGCAATATGGAGTGCAACTTGATTATCACACCAGAGTTTTGATGGAGTAGGATGCTTCAACCCAATTTCATTTAAAAGGTGATGTATCCACATTATCTCACATGTTGATTGTGACATAGCTCTATACTCGGATTCTGCACTGGACCTAGATACAACATTTTGTTTCTTACTTCTTCATGATACCAAGTTTTCACCAACAAATACACAGCAGCCAGTAGTAGATCTTCTATCAATCTTGGATCTAGCCCAATCTGCATTTGCAAAACAATCAATGCGAGAATAACCGTGATTGCTGTATAATATGCAGAGTGCAGGAGATCCTTTTAAGTAACATAGGATCTGCTCCAAAGCCTCCCAATGTTTAACTATGGGCGCGGACATGAACTGGCTAACCATACTCACTGCAAAAGCAATATCTGGACGAGTAACAGTGATATAGTTTAATCTCTCAACTAACCTCATGTATCTATCTGGATCATTAAATAGATCGTAATCATCTTTCATAAGATGCAAATTAGGAACCATTGGAGTACTGTAAGGCTTGGCAGCCAGCTACCAGTTTCTGCTACTAAGTCAAGAATATACTTTCTCTGAGATAGAAAAATTCCCTTCTTGCTTCTAGTTATTTCTACTCCCA